TATAAAGAGAGGCTTCATTTCTCTCTTCCAGTATCCACCCGGCAGCAGCGACTCAGGTGGCTGTTTCCCGTTTCAATTCTTGTCTCTCAACTTCCATGGCGCGAAACAATCAACATAAGCCACTTCGTAAGTAATTTTGTTTTGATTGAGGCTTTAAAACAGCTGATCATGAACGCACTGTAGCACCCTTGAGCCTTATTGGATCCCATATCATGCGATATTGGAAAATGCAGAAAAATGACAAGCAGATCTTGGAACTGTTGAGGACCAGGCATCTCCATGGCACTAGATATGGCATCGGGTTTGTGTTGACTATCTCGTGCAGACTATATCGCTGATGGGGGGAAAGACTTACTCGCTTTCGCGAAATTCGTGAAGGGATGGGTCTTTTTAGGTCTAGGAAGCAGGGCCATAATATAGAGACAATACGGGAGGCGATGCTTCGATTACGGGTGCAATATCCTAAAGCGGGCCAGCGAGAGATCAGTGGCCTCCTCTTTCACGAGGAAAATATGAGTGTGCCACGGTACATAGTAGCTTCTTTTCAATTTTGAACGCTTGAATTATCTGACATTTTACAGGAGCGTTATAAGATCTTACTTTGCCATATACGAGCCGGAGTTAGTCCGCCAACGCCGAGCAAATCGTCTGAAGCGCAAACGCTTCTGGGCAGCCGGGGGTAATGATATGTGGTGCGTAGATCAGCACGACAAGTGGAAGTACAAGTATGGCCTGGCGCTTCACTCCGGCCTCGACCCGTTCTACGGCTATATTCACTGGTTGAAAATCTGGTGGACAAACAGTAATCCTCGCCTCATTCTCAGCTACTATCTCAATGAGGTGGAGCAATCCGGATGTGAGTCCAAATCTTGACTTACCTTGATTCAATCTGAAGTTGGTAGACATGCCGCTTGTTTCTCAAAGCGATCCGGGTGTCGAAAACTTCGGACTGGCAAACGGGCACACCCTTCTACGGCACTGGCATGATCCTAGCCTTAAAGGCACACTTCAACACCGCTGGATGAATGAAAAGAAAAATGTTATGCCAGAGATCGGCTGGTCTCAACTACGACGCCGGTGGACACCTGGATTTGAAGACATCCTCGACATTGGGGTCAATAATGGCTGGTATGATCCAAGCAATCTTCTGCAGGCGTACGTTCCAAATAAGTCTCCATCCCAATCATTCGCTTATTCACGGTACATGAAGTCTTGTCTTTCGATGGGTATTTATCCCATGGTTGCAGAAGGAACTCGATGCCTACAGAGAACGTGTCAACAATACCGCCAAGCGTGCTGACAAAAACAAAGTGCTCCCTCATGGTGTCCCTAGTCACATGCGTGAAGCTCCCGAGGAGTTTGGAATCTTAGATTTCAAGGTCTGTCCGACCTATTTCACTTGTCCCACTGCTCAGTGCTTGGAACTCAGGTCAAAGTTGATCCGGATTCGGTGGTCTATGTTCGGAACTTGTATGCACCTCCCGACCATGAGGTCTTTGAACTGGTCCCTCCGGATTTCGCTCAACTGGCTGCTGAATTTTACACTCAAATGGGTCAGCCCCCAGTCCTTCGAACAAATGTATGGGATATATATGGGCATTCTAACTCGATTCCAACACCTGGACAACATGCATCGAGTTCCGGCAGAGCTAGATGAACATTGGGGGTATACATTGACAATGGTGCGAGATGATTACCAGGATGATATTGCACTGATTCCCAACTTGTCGCCTCTCCACAATGGCTCTGATGTTGTTGGGCTACAAGGTTTGAAGTATATGGGTGGCGTTAATAATGGACTAGGATTGAGTGAGTTCAATCTCTCATTTCATGGGCTGGTACTCAGTCCATATTTAAGACGAGGAACAGGCCTCCAAACTTGATGAAATGACCAACCATGACGAGCCCTTGCCTGAGGGCGAAGCTGATTTAGAGGAGGGGGATCAACTGATGGCTTGGTTCTCCGATGAAGAGGATGAACCCGAGCAGAATATGTAGTGTTCAGATAATAACAAGATGTATGTAGACACCTGCTCTATTCAGAAATCATGTAGTCACACCAGACCCTTTGAGTATTGTGCAAATTTTGATGCACTCGATGGTGCATCTTGGCGTGAGAAAAATGCTGACATTACGGTCGACTGAGCGATGGGCATGTCAGACATGTGTCCTTGCATTAAGAAAAAAAAGTCCAGGCATCCTTGGGGAAATGAGATCGGAAGGGATAGGCCCTTCCATGTGGTTCAAGCTAACTTCTAGAAGTGCTCTCATAATGTGCCGCCAAGAAAAGGAGGGTCATAAGTGGAATTCACTTTGTGCCAATTGAGGGCCCATATCCCACAGACACACTTCAGTGGAGTTCAGTGTCACTATACAGACTAATGACACGTATTGGAATATCTTAGACGCGTCAGTGAGCTGATGAAGACGCGTCGTACGCGAGTTGAACGGGAGGCATATACGATCACGTGACATCGGTCCGTGCTTCAGGCCGAGTGGTCCCGAAGAAGGTCTTGTCTTTATCCCCTGAATGTTCTAGCAAGTACTTAATACACCACTTATATCCAGTTGGACTTTCAGCGATGCTCCTACTCAGCTGATAACGGATGGGTGTCATCAGTCCGACTGCCCTGTCGGGCAAGCGCCGGCCATCAAACGAGCGTGGTGCTCTGGCTTTCCATACTCGACCAAGCACTGCGCGATCATCGCGAGACATCGCGAAACAAGTTTATATCAAGGAGACGAGGCAGGACTATGAAATTATTTATTCCCTCCATCGTCTGTTCAGCCACCCACCGACGAGAAATGTCCACCTTCGATCTCGGTGTTCTACCGCCATATACTTCTTCCGGCGTGGTACCTTCTTACTCCGCTGAGCCCGCCTCCGATGAAGTGCTCATTCAACAAAATCCGCGTGCAGAATCTCGTGCTTTTAACGGGACCCTCGTAAAAAAATCTGGCCGCGAAACCCTGGTTCTTGCAAACCAAGACGCCAGCGCTGAGCTCCCTACCTACAGCCGCAATGCAGTCATCGACGGTTTCGTGAACCTAGAGGATTGCGAAAAGGTTTCAAAGGTCGTCTTAAAAGTTCGTGTTCCTCTGCTCATCTTCTGTCCCCTGACGAATCCCTTTAGGTCAAGGGCAAGATGGAGTTGCGGCTCTCGGAGCGTGGTTACAACTCGAAGACAGTCCTCGACGACTCTTACACACTGTGGTCTGCTCGAACCTCTAACGGTGCGCCATGCCCCAACAGCGTCCCTTTCGCGGCGATCCTCCCGTCCAACTTCCGGGACGGAGATGGCACGCGCGCCCTCCCACCAACCTACAACGTGACATCTACCGCGTGCGGTGGTCTCTGGGTGAAAGTGAACTACAGTCTCTCCGTGATCGTCACCCGAACACGCGGCCACAAGCTGGCCTTCATCCCTGCAAAACATACGTATGTTGCCTGCTGTAACTCAATAATTTCATGTCAACATTAATCCAGGACAACGATTCCATTCAATTACCGCCCCCGCACGCGGGCAGGGCGGCCCATTCGGCCTCCCGTCTCTGACTTCCTTGCCGACGTTAAACTCATGCCGGGGGAATGGCGCCAGATCTCCACCGCCGGATACCCGAATCCAAAATCTACACTGGGACCGCTAGATCTGCACGTACGCCCGGTTTCCTGATCACGCTGAGTCTTGACGATTGACGAGCGGCTTGAACGACAGCTCTTCATCCCTGCTCCAGGCGTGTTTGCGCTCGGTGACACGATCCCTTTCCACATTCAACTCTCAGGCCCCGTTCCCTCGTTGCGCGAGATTATCCGGGATCAGAGCCACGCCGAGACTCAGCCTACGGTGCAGGTTACTATTTTGCGGCAGCTCCTTCTCACTGTCAACAACTACCTGGAACCGTGCCGCCTGATCCTCGGTATCGCCACCCTGTCCTCGACCCCGCCCAGTGCCGCCGCTGCCGTCGAGCCCACCGACACTGCCAGCCTGGACTGGGCGGGCGAACTGAGCAGCAGCCCCTCCGTAGACGTTGCCTCGTTCGACGCGGGTATCGTTAAGGCGCAGGTACGCTCGCTGCATTCGATGCACTCCGTGGTATGGTCCTGACTTACGCCGGTCGTGCAGGACTTCATCGTGGTCGACATCATCCCTCCAGCTAATTCGCAATTCCCGCGCATTCGGCACTCACACCCTATCCGGCTCGTCACCGAATCGTGGCTGGATGAGTAGCCTTCTGTGTCCACGCCCAAAAAAAAAAAATCGTACGGACACACCCAACGTCTGGAAGTCGAATAAATCATTGAATGCACTGATGGCGGCGAAAATGCCCTTAGTCCAGGTATGTCTAATTGGTACTTTTAATTGCATGGCGGTGTATTGACATTGTGTGCAGATTTGCGAGACGATAACGTCCGACTGGGCCGCTTAGGACTCCTCAAATGTAGAATGCGATCCCCATGACCATATACGCCTTGGATTGTGTGGCGCCACTGTACATGTACATCCTTTTCGAAAGACGTGAAGAAAGAGTCCTGGCTGGGCGAGCTCTACTATTTTTATACTGAAATCTGTATGAGTCTCGGCGTTCTGCTAGGCCTGTTGATCTCGAACATTTCGAAGTCTGTGCGAACCAAAAATGATGTATTCCTCCCTCCACCATGTCCTCGACCGCTCTAATATTTCTCATTGTTCTAATTCGAAGCGCGCGCAGGGTTTCAGGTGTATGGCATGGATTATTCAGGGGGTCACCAACGCACCAGTAGTGTTTTCGACACACCATTTCACAACTTTCCTTGTCAAGTAAGCGGTGCCGGGGTTCGACTCCCCGACTGGTGGTTCGTTGATGGAAGTTCGCTTTTTTTTTTGTCAGGCCACGTATAACGAAGATAAGAGGGTGCGAGTCCCGTCGTGCACTTGTAGACTTCCCTCCCGAGTCGCCGGTCTACTATGCACTCTCGACAATACACTTCGTAAATTCAAGTACCCCCAGTATTGGGGGGTGCACCGGTAGTGTCCGGGACACACCGCTTCCTTTCCCGCAGGCTGTATTAAGCGGAGTCGGGGTTCGAGTCCCCGCTGGTGCGTTCGCGACAGCTCAATTCAATTTTTTTCTCTTGCTCCGGAGGCGAGAACGTTCGTGGTTGCTTCTTCGAAGGAAGTACGGCGATATACATATCTGAGGGAAGGAACGATTGGGGCCGCATGAAGATCATGCCATCGGATCCGCGCTAGTGCTATTCGGCTCAGGCCATCAGTTCTAGTTCGGTTCCTGACTTCGAGACCGGAAACTCGAACTGAAGGATTTTCTTGCGATGTCCCTGCACGCTCATCAACTGAAGACTTTGAGTTGAGCAATACTTATTTTCTCTCTGGATTCAGTATCCCTATTCTCAAAAACAAGGAGTTTTGAGGAAGGGGTTTGAAAAGTAAGGAAAGAAGCAGAAGAATAGAAGCCAGGTTTAACCTTCCAGCTCCTCCTTCTTTGCTTCTCTTTTGGGGTTTCGGGCACGTAAAACGCGACAGTAGCATCAATCAGTCAATAATCGACACTGATATGCAATATATTTCCGACGTCATGCAGGGTATCGCATCGCAGTTTTTGGGGGAGGGATCAGGAACCAACTCAGAGAGAGGATGTTTTACCCTCTTTGACTCGTCCTTTCCGAACAAAGCCGTGCGTCCGCCCCAGTTTATCCCAAAGAGGTGCCAGTACAGTGTTCCTGACTTATGAATGAGCAAATTCATACTTCACCTTGACCCAACCCGGATAACTGAATGTATTCAGTGCGGCGTCGGAGTCGGGGATCTCGGACCTTCTTTCAGAGCCCCACCTACCTCGTCCTGCTTGTCGCTGATACAATAGCCAGGACTTAGATTAGATTGGTGCTCCGGTGGATCACTGTCGAAAAAATTGAGCATCGCTGACTGAATCGCTGCTCTTCAAGTTCCACTCCCCAGGAGAAACAACTAAGAAACAACTGCAGAGAATTCGTCTCGAGCGGTTACTAAAGGTTATGAAAAAAAAAATGGGAGCTTAGTGGAGGTTCAGTGCATGAATTAAACCCGAATTGAGGAACTCTCTCTGTCGTCTGGAAGATCTCCATCAACAGCTGTCCCGATTAGGATACGATATGATCTCCGGATTTTCGGGCGGAGATTGAATGCCTCTTGCTCCTGACCACCACCTCGATTTTCTGGTTCCACTGTTTCTACTCTACTCTCGTTCTTCTGCGTAAAAAACTCTGGACGGCGGTGTACTGACTCGGGCCATCGGACCGTAATTTGCATCCGGGGGCTTCTGAAAGAGAAGAACGGTCAATCCTAGCTCGGTCAATGTCAGTGATTAATTGGGCCAGTATCACGCGGTTTCTAGGCATTCTGGGTATAAAATCTGGCTTTTCTGTGAGCTTGTCCTTTCCTTCGCTCCTTTCGTTCCTTTGCTGTAAACCTAGACGACTATAACTCTGCCCAACGTCACTTATAATCTATCGCTATTACATCGACACGCTGGTTACGGTACATCCATCCAATCGCTCGCTCATAGTCTCGTCTCTTTTCGTTTCATTTCTCTCTCTTGCTGCTATTCTTTCGCATTCCTATCATCAGCATGTCTCTCCCAGATTCCACTTCCACTTCAGTTCTCGCGACTACTAGCATCAGTACCAGCTGCATTCCTCCGCGAGCACCTCCAACGCCGCCGCCCGATTCTCCATCTCCTGTTCATTCTTCTCCTCGCACGAACAACTCAGCTGATTTTCCAAGCATCTCGCCGTCTTCTCCATCGCAATCTCAGTCTCAGTCTACTATAATAACAACAACAGCATCGTTTCCGAGCCCCGGCCTTCCCACATTTGCTTCCGTCGTCGCTGCGCCATCTCTGTCGCCTCTTCTGCCCACCTCTGTCTCGTCCCCGGCGTGGTTCCCTCCGTTCGACCGCGAATCTGCGCCGGTACCGACCTCACCAGTGACTGTCTCGGCATCGGCATCCCCGCTGGTCGCGTCCTTCTCCTCTGCTACGCTCGTCGACGCCTCCCCCGCATTGACGGTGGTATCTCCTTCGGAGAGCGGACATGAGGCGAAGGGTAAAGACGCCGCGCTCGAGGAGGGCGAGATCCGCGAAGCGGAGGTGCTCATGAAGGATCTTGGTCTCGGGCTTGGCCTCGGGCTCGGGGTCTCAACCTCATCTGTGTCAACTGGCTCTAAAGGTACGTTTGCTAGTCTAGATTATCCCAACTATCCGAATCCCAACTCAAACTCAAACCCAAATCTAAACGGTTATGATCGCCGTCAACTTTACCCCAACTGACGGAGCTTCACAGATCCCCAGCCCGACGACTCCCCTGTCCTCCCCGCGCACCCTATCGCGCAGTCTCCACCTCAATCGCCTCCGCGCGCCCCAGCTCGTCCGTCGATCCCGCTCCCGCCAGTCGACGAGGAAGGTCCGGACTTCTCCCCATCTCCCGCGCCGACTGCTTCCGCCGCTGCCGCCGTTCCCCTTCCCTCTACTCCTCCCGCTGCCTCTGTTCCATCCACCACCTCCACTCCCTCCGCTCCTCGCAACTCCGCCTCCTCGATCCCCACCCACGCCTCGGTCACCCTTCCGCAGACTAACGTCCGCACAGAACCCACGCAAACCCCCAACGTTTACATCAACGGTCTCCCCCCTTCTTTCCCCGAAGACCAGCTTTTCGCGCTCGCCGCCCCGTTCGGCGCCGTGCGCAGTGTACGGAGCTTCACCCGCCATGTCGGCGATACGGAGACGGGGTATGGGTTCGTTTTGTGAGTGGGTTTCGTTTGCGTTTTTTTTTCGGTGATCATCCCATGATCGTACTTCTCGTTGTCCTTTTCTCAGACCGGCGCCAGGGTCTAGTCCTTAGTTCCTCTCCTGCCGTCCTCCCTCTTGGTCCACCTCTCCTTCTTACTCCCTTTCTGCGCTGGGGTTCTCTTCCGCGTTCTCTTCCGCGTTATTTGCTTGTACGGTCGTTTCTCATCACCTGTACGTCTGGAGGGCGTTCGGACTTTGTGCTTTCGATCTGGCTTCCCTTACTTCCTTCGCACTCCGTGCCTTCTTCTCAATGCCCTTCTGTACTTCCGAATTCCTTTTTCATTTCTCGAACGCGAAGTCGAACCCGACCGCGAACCCAAACTGACGTCTCGCTGACTACAGGTTCGAGACCCTCGCCGCCGCCGAGAAATGCATCAACTCGCTCAGACGGTATCGCAATTTGCACCCGACGTTTTCGAAGGTACGACTGCTGCTTTTGTTTTCCTTTCACCATGCAGCCTCCACGCGTCTTCCGTCCGCCTTTACTCTTCCCATTACTCTCGTTCTTACGGGATTCGCTACCTCTATTCGCGATGCGACGATTCCCTTCCCCTGTCTCTCCCTGCACCAACACTCTTCCGCTCCCTATCCTATCCTACCTCCCTGAGACTGCCCTTTCATCCTATTCACACTATCGTCCCATCCTCAAATCCTATCCACGAAATTGCGCTCTCTCGTCCTCTATCCTATCGCACTCGCATTCTATTCGCGATCCTTCCGCATCCCTTCATATCTTAGAAACTATACTGACCCCGGCCCTCCCTACAACTACAGCAAGTCCACAAGATCCCGGGGACGATGTATGCGCACGCTTCCTCCTCAGCTCCTCAACCTCCCGTTCCTTCCTCCACCACCTCTGCCTCCCCCACTCAATCTGCGGCTCCATCTCAACCTCACGCGCCCTCCGCATCCGAGCACGGCGGCGAGTCGGCGTCCTCCCTCGCGGCGTGGGAACAAGAGACCGTCTCCGGCTCGGGCTCCGGCGCAGACTCGACGTTCAAGGCCAAGATGGAGCGGCTCGCGGACAAGGCGAGCACGAATCTGTATATCGAGGGGTACGTTGTGTTTGCCTTCCTTCTGCTGTTCAATCCCGCCGTTGAACGCCTTGATGATTTTGCTTATTTTGGCACGTGTTACACAGACTCCCGCTCAGCATCGACGACGCTGTACGTCCATTTCTTCTCTCTCTTCCCCTTTCTGACGAGAAACACTCCTAAAATGTCGCGCACGTAGACCCTCGGCGCGCTCGTCTCTCCCTACTCGATCCGGAGTAGCCGCTTCTTCCAGACCAAGCTGAGTACCCCACCGCGGATCATTGCATTCGTAAGGTCCGTTTGGTTTCCGTTTGTATCAAATTTATCTCCCCAGTCGTGGTGTTTATTTCACGGACTTTCAAATCCAACCCCAGCTCGTTTAACTCAACCCGAATTCCTGATTTTATTTCCACTTCCCTTCTCGATTAAACCACCATTTCAACGATCGACTGACTCGGACCCAGGCTCGAAACCCGCGCCGCCGCGGAAGAGATCATCGAGCGGCTGCACGGTCGGATGGTGCGCGGATGGAACGACCCAGGCTCGCGCATTTCCGTGAGGTTCGCGGATACCAGCGAGCAGAGGGAGTTGAGGGTGCGTGTGGTATTTTCTATTCTTCTACCCTCGAGGCTGCCCGCCGGTGTTGTTGTTTTCCCTTCCTCATTTCTACCCTTTGATTGTCTGTTCGCTGGCTGACCATGCCCCACAGCGCCAAGAACGAATCGCGCGGGAAGGCGACCAGACGGGGACCCAGCTCAGCATTGCGCAGGCGACGCTTCTCAACCTCCGCGGAAAGGACCTCCACCCACGCCCCGGCCAACAGCGCATCGGCATGGAGAGCGACTTTGATATCGAGGACTTGCACTCGGACATGTACGCCCACAGCAGCAGTACCTTCAACGCCGACCCGCATGGATATCCCGCGAGCGAGTTTGAGGTGGACTACTCCCGCGCCCCCGCACGGTACCCCCTCGGTCATCATCAGGATCTCGAGTACAACCTTCCCCCGCCGCAGCAGCAGGTCCCCGTGCATGCTCAGCGCTTGAACCCTGCAATGGCGACGCTACTCGAGTCGCTTCAAGCCAGCGCCCATAATCGTGACCGCGACCGCGACCTGTACACACAGCAAGACTACCGCAGCGCGCTTCAGCTGCAGCAACAGCTCGCGCTCTCTGCCAACAACGGCACCGGCGGTCGTTCGCCTTATCTTCCGCAGGGCCTCGGT